ACCACCCCGCCAAAAAAAATCTCGCTTGTTTAAAACCTCAAATCAAATCAACATTCTCAAACAAATGAACAACATAGACTGTTCTACACCTCCAAAACTTGTTTTCAAAGTTCAAATGTTACACTAATAATCTGTAAATTTTTTACCCAATGTCTATATCAGAAAACCAATTTCACTAACATGAAAGCAAAAAAAAAAAAAGATCCTAGGTAAAAGATTAAGCCACACGGTATGTATCAAGGAAAAACTTGCAATTATGATGAAGTTGCCTACTCACAGTATGTATCAAACAAAAGTAAAAGCCTCAAATTATAGATGTCTTTCTTGCAGCATGTAATACTTCTGAACAAATCAACAGCACTTGTGACACTTTTGCATTGTGCATTGCTTATTATTTATTTGCTAAATATGGAGGGAAATACCTAGACGTTTACAGACTTGATGGATACATGTGATACATCATCTAACTTATTCTAAAAATTTTAGCCATCAATATGCATCAAGTACGTGCTCAAGACATATCAAGAATAAAAAATAAAGTGGATACTTAAACATATAGTTCAAAGTTCAATATTATTTGTGGATGATTTTAAAGAGTAAACCCCTTTTATATTTTGTTGTGAAAAATGATCTAGGCTGATGCAACCACCCCACACCCACACACCCCCCCCCCCCCCCAAAAAAAAAAAAAAAACCCAACAAAAAAAATCTATTGGGACCCCGAACCACGTTCAACTAGTTCCCTCCACTTGTAGCCAGGTGCTTCCACTAGGTAGACTTCAATTTTTTCATTTAATTTAACTTTTGACTGATGCCTTTTTTTTTAAATGTAGTTTCTCCCTCTCCCTTCTCCCCCCCCCCCTCATGCTTTTATCTTGTTGTTGCTACTCCTCTTTTCTTGTTGTTTATATGTGTTGTGTCGTCATTGCATCTCCTCTTATCTTAAAAGTTCATTATGATACATAAATTTAAAGAAACTTTTTTCAGCCATTGTGTCCAAATTGTACCAATGTCGGGATTTAGTTGTTCAATTTGCAACCATGACGTTATTTTTCCCAAAAGAAGGTACCATAAAACCTGCATACCTTTATTAAGAAGCTTCAGGCACTCCTAGTTTGAGCACATATGAGGTCTGCTTGAAGCCATATAATTTAGAACAATCAGATAGGAATGAGATTCTCCTATAAAATATAAACTTTCACATCTTTCAGAAGGAAAGGTAAACTTCACATCCTTTAGTAGGAAAGGTCAAACCCTTCTCATTTTGAGCCTATATGAAGTTTACAAATAGCAAATCTTATTATTTATAACGATTGGGCCATGGGGATGCCCGGTCTCAGTTGAACATACTACAGCCTAAACAGCAGATGGCAAGGGTGAGTTTGATCAAAGTTACTGGATACGCGACAATGGTTATTAGTTACACAATATAAGTTCCTTCGTACGCAATCTTACTCTAAGTTTCGAAAGATATAGATCTTTCAAATGAAATCAAATCCTAACAACCTCAATAGATAGTTAAGGTTGGTCCTTATCTAGATGACTCTGTGGCATCCTCTCCGTGAATAATTCGAATTGAGAACGGGATACTTTTAGCACATAAAAAGGATCATACGTCACACACATTGGATTGATGGAGAAGAGAAATTTGTCTGTGAGACTAGGATCCTTCTAGCAAGCACGCTCACAGAACATGCAAGAGACCAACAGTACATGCACAGGATTTTTTGCCAAAAAGAAACAACACAAATTAACTTTCGACTCATTACCTCATCATGCTCTAAAACAAAGGCAGAACTCAACTCTCTTGTTTCTTCTGCATCTCTAACTTTAGTCGTGCGAGGTCCAGCTGGAAGTTACAAACCAACATTTTCTCCAATCATTACGAAGCAACATAAAATTCCACGAAATTGCAAATAACATATTTCAAGGTATAAAAATATTGTTTCCTTTTAGATACTAACAAAATATGTAATTCATAAACTGGAATATAAATATTCAGATAGTCTAGAGTTGGTAATTGTAATGATACATAGCATAACACAACATAATATAAACAAAAACATGCTTTTTGAAATATTCTTCTCCAAAATAAACACATTATCATATACAAGCGAGCATTATTGACAAAATGATACAGTAATTTGTCTCGTCTCTAAAAGTGACCGAACGTTTACCAATTTTACTTTGGAAAAGACACATTCATTGAAGTTTATAACTTATGTTACTGATTTTCAGAAAAAGGTATGAAAGAGATTAAAATACTATGCCTGCAGCTATTAATTCTCTGTCACGAACATTCAAGTCAGTGGTCAAATGAAGGCCGAAAGAATGAAAACAATTACCATATTTTTGCTTTTTCGCAGACGTAATCAGCTCTTTGACTTTACTTTCAGCAACAACAGCCACCTTCTTCTGCTGCCTACAGAGTTTAGGACTAGCATTTTCATTAGAACCATTCCTTGCAACAACCTTTTTCCTTGTGTGCATCGCTTAGTCGAAGAAATTTGCAGTAATCCCTTCACAACAAAGACCAAACTTTTTAATTTCCTGATTCTGGCTTACCTAGCACGTAGAAAACAAAATATTTATCGGAAATTTGAAAAGTACAGAGTAAAATGCATTCAAATAAAGTACATGCAACCAGTTACACAATGCAAATCATCAGAAATCCGAAACCCTAAATTGCAATTTACGGCGAGTTAAAAGATCAATAAACCATTAAAGCTAACAACTTGAACAAAGACAACAAACAATAAAAACCCTAGGGTGATGTACTACAGCTTCGATCGTATAAAAACAGACTTTTTCCATCAAAATCACGAAATGAGCGAAGAATTACTCACCGGAGACGCAATCAAACCCTAAATCGACGCGGAATCGAAACCCCAAGCCCCCTCGAAAAGAAAAGGCAAGGGTTTCTCCCCGTCTCGCTCGCTCTCACTCGAGGAGAGAGAAAGCTCCGAGGGATTTGTGATGGATTCTAGAGAGAGAAAGTGAGATGACGCTATAAAAAAAAGAAGAAAGAGCGAAGAAATGAGTAAATTATTGCTCTTGAGGGTTTATATTCCTGGTTCTCGCCGTGAGAGTGACGGCAAGGGCTTTGCGATTCGTGCTGCGTAACAACGCGGATTTTGAAGTCCGCGTGTCCCCGGAATTTGAAATTTGGGGGCAGAAATTTGAAGGGGGGGAGCGGACGTCAAGGGGGGGCTGTACAAATTGGATTGGATTTTTGAATTTGAGATACGGGTAGAGTCTGACGTGTCAGGTGACACCGCTGCAGCAGTGGGGACCGTGTACTTCAGTAGACTGACGTCAGCGACCGTGGACTTTAGGGGCTGTTTGGTTGTTGTTGGTAAAGTTGTGTATTTAGGGGCTGTTTGGTTCGTTTCCTAAAAACCAAGAAAATGAAAAAAAACATGGAAATCAATAAAATTTGGTTTCCATCATTTTCCACCCTTAGAAATCTCCCACATCAACCAATAATATGGTGACAACTCATCTTATTTCTTATTTTAAAAAATAAACTAAACACAAGAAATTGGTCACATCAATCAACTCATCCAACTCACCTCACATCATCTCATCTCATCTACTACCATCTTTAAAAACCACTCACATCATCCAATAATATGGTGACAACTCATCCTATCTCATTAATATTTCATTTCCACCAATTTCCTCCAAAAAAGCTAGGAAATCGATTTCCTTAAGTGTGGGTCGCATCATCCAATAAGATAATGACAACTCATCTCATCTCATCTATTTTCTTAGTTTTAAGAATGAACCAAACACAAGAAAAGAACCTAAACAAGGAAAATATTTTCCTTATAAGTTTTTTCCTTATTTTTTTAGCCAACCAAACATAAGAAAAGAACATCAAAAAAAGTTTTCTTTAAAAAACACTCACATCATCCAATAATATTGTGACAACTCATCTCAACTTATCTTTTTTTTACTTCTAAAAAGTGAACCAAACACAAGAAAACATCCAATTATGGGAAATGCGTTTCCTTTTCTTTATTTTCCATGTTTTTTAGCGAACCAAACAGCCCCTTATGACACAACTTGGAAAGTTGTTATCCACCTCATCAATTTCACTTTTATACTTTTCTTTGTTTGTTTTTTATTCCATTGGAATCATAAAACACTTGTTTAGTTTGCAAAATGAAACTTTAATTGTTTGTTTGGAAAGTGTAAAAAGTGGTTCCTACTCAAATGATCATATTGGTTGGAATTATTTTTTATTATTTTTTCCTAACTTCAATGTTAGCTTTCTCCTAAAATCATGTCTTTTTTTCATGAAATCACTTTACAAGCCACATCAGCATATGAAATCACTTTACACTATTTTCACAACTACAAACAAACAATTGAAAGTGATGAAAGCTGATATTGGGACCCACTTTTTTACACTTTACATCATTTTACATGGTAAAAACAAACAACCAAACAGCCCCTTAGACGCTTTTACCGCACCACAGACCTCCGTATTTAATATTTTGATAATAGTCCTCTAGGTCTTCCTCTTTCTGAATAGGCCCCCAAATTTTTAATTGTTTGAAAATTATTTCCCTCAATCTCATAGTTTGAAATTAATCCCTCGTGTCTCATTAAGTGTTTTGAAATTACTCTCTCTAGTTAGCATCAGGTTGAAAAAGTTAGGGGACTAATTTCAAAATTCTTAAAGATTTAGAAAACTAATTTCAAAATATAACATCTCAAGGACTAACTTCTAAATACTTAAAAGTTTGATGGATTTAATTTTAGAATATGACGGGGGACTAGTATTGAAAATTTCTTAGTTAATGTTAGCTAACAAGCTTCTAGCTGTTTAGTGATTTAAAAATATATTTAGCTGTTACACATGTGAAGTACGGAATTAATGTTGACATAATTCTTGAATATATATTAAAACTATAGGAAAATTGCTTCCGGCCCTTAATTTCCTTGCAAGTATTACCCTCACCCTTAAAATTTTTTCAACGCTCCTAAAACCCCTAAAAATAAACTCATAATTCTCTGAGTCCCAAAATACAAAACCCAAGCGTTTTAAACACTTGAAAACCATAATATTTTTTCTCTCTTTCTCTCTTTTTTTATCTGTGATGATTTGAAAGGGTTTCCTCTGTTCCTTTCCCCAATAGCGGCTGCCAACGATTCAAAGAAGACAATCGTCCTCCGGAGGTCCAATGACGAGGAGTTTGAGATCGAGGAGGCCGTGGCCATGGAGTCGCAAACGATCGGTGAGCGCCGGAGTCCTGATGGTGACGTGGCCGCTGTTCCACTAGCAGTTCATCAACGCGGAGATGGTCATATAGGTGATGGGGATAGGGGCGAGGATGTGGGAGGGGTTCAGGAAGAGCGACGGCGGGAAGGGGACGGTGGTGGCGGCGGCGGAGGAGATCACCGGGGCTTTGAAGAGAGTGATGGGGGGAGGGGAGGAGTATGAAGAAATGAGGATCACTTCCTTCAACTTCTGTTTCTTTTTTCTCTTCATGCTGTTGATTGGGATCGATGAAATGAGTGGAGACGGTTTGATTTTGGTACTTGAACAAGCGACAGACACCATCAACGAACATGCCTCGGCCTCCCATTTCACTGCGAAAATATCACCGCCATTGATGGATGCTCGAGAGTTTCGCTCCGCGGTCGCCAGCAATGCGAAGGAAAGGAGGGGGTATTTTGCAAAACTTGGTCAATTGTGCCTTGCAGTAGCACGATGCGTTCGGTTTTTTTAAAACTGGAATTTTTTATAGCAGGGGTAGCGGGGTAATAATGAGGATCTTTTATTATTGAGAAAAGATGCAGACTAAGGGAGTTCAATTATTAGTCCTCATAAATTATTTGCTTGTTTAGTTGGATTACTTGTCTTAATTCTTTTACGCCTCCATGTGCGTACTGTTTTTTTCTCATGACACGTAGTTACAGGTTGGTTGTGAAGGTTATAGTTTGATTGCTAAGGTTACGCATTGGTTGTTAAAGTTAGGGGTTGCTTGTTAAGATTACACGTTGGTTGTGATTGTTACGGATTGGTTGTTAAGGTTACAGGTTGGTTGTTAAGGATAAGCATTGGTTGTGAAGGTTACGCGTTGGTTGTGGAGTTAACATTGACAATCAACTCGTAGCCTTAAGAACCAACGTGTAACCTTCACAACCAACGCGTAACTTTAACAATCAACCTGTATCATTCACAACCAACACGTAACCTTAACAATCAACCCATAACATTCACAACCAACTCGTAACCTTCACAACCAACCCGTAAAACCTTCACACCCAACCTTGGTAAGAAGTTGGTTGTGAATGTTAACTTCACAACCAATGTGTAACACTCACAACCAACGCTTATCCTTAACAACCAACACGTAACCTTAACAACCAATGTGTAACATTCACAACCAACGCGTAACCTTAACAAGTAACATGTAACCTTAACAACCAACACGTAATCTTCACAACCAACGTGTAACCTTAACAATCAACCCGTAACCTTCACAACCAACTCATATCCCTCACAACCAATGCTTAACCTCCACAACCAACCTGTAACCTTTACAACAAACCCGTAATCTTCACAACCAACGTGTATCCTTCACAACCAACCTGTAACACATTCACAACCAACGTGTATCTCTCACAACCAATCGTAACCTTCAAAACCAACACGTAACATTTCTTCACCACAAACTCATAGGCTTAACAGTAGACTTTATTACAGTGAAATAACAAGAATATATAAATTTGCATACTCTAATTTAATCTGAAGTCATCGATTTTAAAAAAATTATAATAATATGTAAACTTAAGGGGGTTGGTGACGCAACTTATCATCACCATCTTTATGATCGAAGTTTTCTTCGCCTCATGAATGAACATCGGGAAAGTTTCACCGCCGATGTCGACGCCGTCGATGTCAACACCGTTGAAATTTTTTGGAGGGAACTAGAATCCCTCCCCCAAAAAAACTCATTTCAAATCATCACAGTAACATCATGAAAAAGAGAGAGAAAGAGAGATAAAAAGGGTATTATGGTCTTCACATGTTTAAAACTCTTGGGTTTTGTATTTTGGGGGCTTAGGGAATTATAGGTTTACTTTTGGGGCTTTTGGGGTTTTTTGGGAGCGTTGAAAAAGTGTTGAGAGGGAGTGGAATACTTTTTAGGAAACTGGGGGCTAGAGGTATTTTCCCCTAAAACAAAAAATGGATTGGAGAGAAGTAAGAAAATAAGGGGGGTCATTCATTGGTGTAAATTTAGGGATATTGGGATACTTTTTGGAACAATGCTTTTTGATGTTATTCATTGGGGGTAATTGGGTATGGATTCAACTTTATAGTGTTATTGTTTTGTTGGGATAATTGTGGGATAAATACTCTACTTTTCCTAAAATTACCCTAACTATATAAAGACTCCTTAGACCTCACCCTCAAAATTACCCCAGATTGCTTGCTGGAACAAGATGGGGTAATCTTGCCCTAGATCCTATCGTGTTCTTCTAGCGTCGTCTTCTTTCTCCTACGGTGCGATCTCTTCTCCTTCTTTCTTCTCCATCACCCTCTCACCCTCCTCCACCAACTTTACTCTCCTTCCTCCCCTCTCTCTCTTTTCAACTCCTCTTCACAAGCTTTGATTCTGTTGCTAATTATCTAAAACAGTCTCATGCCTGCTCTTCAAAATCCATCCCTATAGTCTCCGTGAAAACTTCCGACGCCTCCCTACAGCGGTGTCTTGTTTGAATTTGTCACCGTCTAGGTACATGCTTGACCAAATTTTAGGAGATTTGATATCCTGCTTATGGCTTTAACATCTAATTATGTTATGATTTTTAGTTATATTTTTGAAAAGTTATATGATAAATTAAGATATTGAGAATAAACATGGAGAATCACATTTGGTTGATTTTGGGTTTCTATGGCAAGCATGACACGCATTGAGAAAATTTGTGGCAAGCATAAGACACACGTTGATTTTGGGTTTCTGTGGCAAGCATAAGAACAAATTATGATAAATTTGTCGCCGTGGCAAGCATAAGACACACGTTGAGAAAATTAAAAAAAAAGAAATTGGGTTTCTATTGATTTTGGGACTGGTTTTCTTCATTGGGCTTGCATAAGTTTCTGTCGTGCCAGGCATTGTTTATGTGAACATATGGTAGATGAAAAATATGTATAGAATAAATATTACATGTAGGCGTTGTTTATTGTAATTTATATGTAGACTATAGATAGATATGTATAGAAGAAATAAAAGTTGTTAGTCATTATTTATGTGAAACACGTGATGTATCATGTTTGGATTGATTGAAAAACTTATGAAATTGTTATAATTAAGAATTTATTTGTTAGCCATTAGATTCTAGATTAAAGTTTGTTAGCCATTAGATTATATTTGTTATAATTAAGATTTTAGTTCCATGATTAAGACTTCATTATATAATTGAAGTTTTCTTAAAGCTATAGTTGAACTCTTACATGTACATACTACATAAAGCTATAGTCTTAGCAAGTGAATTTTGGTCATTATTGATATTTGCGTTGTAGAATGAATTTTGCTTCGGAAACTCAAACTATGGAAGAGTACTCTCAAGATGGTGAGAGGGCCAAAAAAACTAGGTGTGACTATGTAACATGGTCAGAACAAGAGAATAGAGAGCTACTAAGGCTTTTAGTGGAGGAGGTGAAGAATGATAACAAGATGGATAACAGAAACTTCAAGAAATATACCATCAGTCAAAATGTGTTGCCATTCATGAATGCTAATTTTGGAAGAACTTTTAAATTTGATCATATAAAGAATAAGATCAACAGTTGAAGAGGAAGATTGAACCAATTGAATTACTTTTGAGGAACAATTCCAAGTTTGATTGGGACCCAATATCTCAAAGAATTACTTGCTCCGTTAAGGTGTGAGAAAATTACAAGCAGGTTAGATTGTTAATTATCCAAAATTCCTAACTACATAATATATTGTTATGTTTGCTAATTACAAGAAAAAACTTAATTTGTTATCCTTTGTTTTTTGACAGGTTCATCCTAATACACCAATGCTTAAAGATGTTATTTGAAATTTTGGAGGATATGTAGATGGTGGTGGGTAGTCATTCTGCTAGTGGGAGAGCTGCTGGAGGCTTAGGAAGTAAGGGTGTAGAGAGTGCGCTATTACATAATGCATTGGGTGAGAGTATATTTGAGGATGAGATTGGAGTTGATGCTATGGGTGAAGAAGAACCTACCCAACCACCAGTAGATCCTCCCCCACCTCCCCCTAATAGCACTCTAGGTCCTGCTACTCCCGTGGCTGAATCTATACCATCAACCTCTAGTACTAGCAGAAATGTCCGTAGAGCACCTTCCCGCACCACCGCCTCTACATTGTCTCAACCCGTCGTGCAATAAATGGCTAGTGGAATTACAATTATAAGTAAAGCTTTACAAGAATTAGTTACAGAGGTGAGGTTGTTGTGAAGCCGCAACCAACCGTGGGTCAACATAGTGGCTTCAATTCTAGAATTTCGTTCTCATCTTTGTTAGAGAACAAACCATTGTATTTGTGCTTTATTGTTGAGAACACATTGTAATACACAATGACACTTAGAGAAGTGGTTGGTGAGAGACGAGGTCAATTCCAAGAGAAGGGACATTGGTTGTAAATCCCAGGGAGAGGTTGTAGTTCCGAGCGTTTGAGGAAGATGGCATGTGCTAGGCCAACACTTAGAGGAGTGTATTATGTGATTGCAATTGTGTGAGTTGTAAACGTTTATCAGCGAGGGTTGAAAACTGATTGTGTAGTTTTTTGTGTTGATAGTGGAGATTCTCCTTGAGGGTGAGGAGCAGAGACATAGGTCGAGGGTTACCGAACTCCATGATCATATTGTTTGTTTGTGTTTGGCATTGACGCACTTATCATTGTCTCATTATTTATATCGTCTTTGCTCATTGTATATCCTTGCATATTTTATTGTATATCAAAATTGCTAGGATATTGCATTAGTAGTTTTTATTTGCATTAATATCGTATTAGATTAGCAATAACCCTATTCACCCCCTCTAGGGTACTTTCACGCAAGACATTGATCAAATGACTGGTATTAAAGATAAATTTGAAGAGTTTGGACTAGTAGATAGATATAAAGAGTAAACAATATTCATCAAATTGTAATTTTTATTTCTTAGCTAAAATTTTGTAATAAATTATTTTGAAAACAATTGCAAATGATAGTGATATAAATGAGTAGGTGTCAACCTAGTTCGACTCATTTATTGTGATGCAACGAATTCCAAAATAAATTTATAATTGTAAATGATTTACTGATTATTAATAAAGAAGTTATTTTTATCATTTTAATTTTTATAATTTTTTGTATTTGTAATTTCAAGTGATTAATAAATAATAATATGATTGTTTTTATTAAAAGTTTGTTTATTTTTTAGTTATTTATTATTAAAATTTTAAAGAAATAAAAAATTTAAAAACACAAAAAATCAGGCCCGACTCGATGCTCACCGGGCCCAGGTCTGGGCCCCAGTTTTGCCCGACCCGGACCTGATTTTCCGGGCCGGGCCGTTTGGACACCCCTAGTTATTTGCACCTTGGCATTTTAAAGTTACAACTCTTATTAACTTCGATCATATACTAAATTTTTTCTTCTACATTTTGATACCCCAAAAGTCTAGACATCTTTAACATTAATGCCCAGTTTTTTGGCAGTTAAAAAAAATCTAACTTAGCATATCTCCATTCATAGATGTTTGCTTGCTTTTTGTTTAAAATGCATCACTTTATTTGACACGCGAGTCATCCAGGACAATAAAGTTAATAAATTTTCTATGGATTTCCTCCTCTTCATTTTACCAAGTTACTAAATCTAGGTCTGTCCAAATAGTATGATATGGTCATTAATGTATACTTATATATATTTTAAGTGTATACTGTCATTAATGTATACTTGTATATACTTATTTATAATATATAACTATATACTAACATATAATCATATACTAATACATAGTTATATAAAAAAAATTAATTTAGTTTTTTAATCAATTCTTAGCAAAAAATCAAAAAAACACAAAAAAATTTGCCCGAACCCGGAAATCGGGGCCGGGTCAGGCCGTTTGGACAACCCTAAGTAAATCTCACTAAAATCCTAATAAAATGAAGGGGATAAATAGTGTAAAGGGGATATGTTAATTCATCATAAAGATACTATTGTTCTTAAAGCACATGGTAGATTTAAGGCGTGTTTGGCTTATTTCCTATAAAGTACGGAAATAAATTCCCTCTCAAAATATCTAATCTCATAAATTTTTATTTTAGGATACATAGGGAGTCTAATTTTTTTTGGTAAGTAATGATATAGTAAAAAATAGGAAAATATATTCAAAACTTTGTTTGATTCATTTGCAAAGAATAAGAAATATCTGATCATAGAAAGCTTTTCTTGAGTTTTTTGCACATTTCCCATCCAAAACTAAGGATTTGGGTATTCCAAAAGTTGTGTAATTTTTTTACTTTATGGAAAACATTTTTCAATTTTTTCTGAACCAAACGAAAATTATTGGAGTTCTATAATGCCTTTTTTTAAACTTTTTTTTCCGATTCCTAAAAAATCACCTCGTTTACAATAATTTAGGATGAATTGAACGTGCCCTTAAAAAGAAACAATAGTGCAACAAAAAGACACAAAAGTTGAATAAAGTGGAAATTGGGTGTACCAAAGTGTCAAACAAAACTTTAGAGGTATCAAATTAAAAACGGCGTAAACTTTAGGATATGTTAAGCAAAAAACATCATACAAATACAAAGAAAATTTCTTCAAAAACCCAAAATATGAGACTAATAAAAGGGGCACGTGAGATGTCTCATTCCTATTAAATAACGAGTTGGTCATAATTAATGATAACAAACTCATCATTATGGGAGGTCTCTACAAAATTGCAAATCGCCTTGCTGCAAATCCTTTCACTTCTTAAGGCCCTAAGAGCCTGTTTGGATTCGTAGGGGGTGAAGGGAAGTTAAGGGAAACTGAGTGAAGGAAAGGGAAGAGAAAGGAAGGGAAGGGAAGAGAATTCCCTTCCCCTTGGTTACACCCCAATTTGGGGTAACAATTTTTATACTATTAGGGGGTGAACCAAAGTAAATAGAGGTGAATTAACTTCACGTCCTAAGGGCTTGTTTGGATTGAGGGGAATGAGGGTGAAGGGAAGTTAGGGGAACCATTCACCTCTATTCACGGGGAATGAGGGTGAAGGGAAGTTAGGGGAACCATTCACCTCTATTCACCTTGTTTGGGAACACTTAGGAGGTGAAGTTAATTCACCTCCATTCACCTTGGTTCACCCCCTAATAGTATAAAAATTGTTACCCCCCAAATTGGGGTGTAACCAAGAGAAAGGGAATTCCCTTCCCTTCCCTTCCCTTCACTCAGTTTCCCTTAACTTCTCTTCACCCCCTACGAATCCAAACAGGTCCTAAGTGTTCCAAAACAAGGTGAATGGAGGTGAATGGTTCCTAACTTCCCTTCACCCACATTTCCCTCAATCCAAACGAGCCCTAAAATTCCTCTCTTGATTAAAAAGATCAAAAATTTCCTCAAAATTTCCCATTTATTTTCCTTGATTTGATCATTCGAAGCAATAATGGAGATGCCCCAAAGCGATTTTGATCGCCTCATCTTCTTTGAGGCCGCTCGCAAGGCCGCCGAAGCCGCCTACGCCAAAAACCCTATCGATGCTGATGTAAGCTCTATCAATCTCTCTTAATCTTTGGATTTCGCAGTTTTTCTGGATTTTTTAGGGAATTTTCCACTTCTTTAACCCTAATTTTCTCAAACCCTAACTTAATTTGTTGCAAATTACTCATCTTTTTGAATAATTTGAATCCTGTTCTGTCCCAAAGTTCAAAAGCCTAGGTCGGTTCTCTTCTTTATTTTATTGATAATTTTTTTTGAAGAATCTTACACGATGGGGAGGAGCGCTTCTGGAGCTGTCGCAATTTCAGAATGGGCCTGATTCTGTAAAGATGGTGACAGGTAAATTTATGGAGAAAAAAAGGAGAAAGTTTAGAACTTGAAAGTTGAAATTATAATAAATGTAACTGCATATGTTTTTCTTTTATAACTAGAATCTGTTTCTAAGTTTGAGGAAGCCTTGGAAATTAATCCGAGGAAGCCAGAAACTCTGTGGTGCTTGGGCAATGCCCACACTTCCCATGCGTTCTATGTGCCCGATAACCAGGAGGCAAAGATTTACTTTGCGAAGGCAACTCAATGTTTTCAGCAAGCAGTTGAGGAGGTAATATTGTGTTCTAGCTTTTTTTTAGATAGTTTATCACATGATTAAGGGATTACGAGTAATTTAAAAAATGTTTTTTTAGGAACCCGGAAATGAGCTGTATATTAAGTCTTTGGAGATGTCGTCGAAGGTAATAATCTCCCTATGCTTTCCTGTTGTCAGATATGTTATATTTTCAAAATTTTTATGTTACAGAATCATATTTACTTTCACATTATGAGACCTTTTAAATTGTGCATATGATTATATAATTTTGCCAATGTACAGACTGTCCTGGTTTTTCCTAGCATTTCCCCCTGATTGTTGATTATTTAGTGTCCTGTAGTATTTAAGGTTGTGGGTTTGTTTTAAGCGTGAAACATACATACATGTTGTTCTGAGTCATTTTGGAAAGGTGGACCATCCTCTTAGTAGGGCTAGAATTATTATTGAAGTAGGACGGTGTTAAATAGTGGTGATATGTTGGCAGGAAATTTTATTTTTATGTTTCATCTCAATGTAAGCGGAGATGTACGAATAAGCACTTTTAGATTTTAGAACAAGAATTATAATCTCATTACTGTTCTCTAGTTTGTGCTTCAGTGTCTGAGTTATGTAGTTTTCTAAATAGGAAAAACATGATGTTAGGGGCTCAAATCTTCAATGCATCATAGGACACAAGAATATATCGGAAAGAGGAGATATAAAATTCATGCTTATGTTCTTCTCTAACTCATTGTTTAAGGTGTTTAAGTCATTTAAAAGTTTTCTTGCTTGCAATCTTTGGTCATCATGACTTATATTGGAATCATGGACACGATTATAGTGAATAGTGGGGTTTCAGCTATTGCCTGATTATCCATCTATGCAAAGCCTTCCTCCCACAAATTGAGATCTCCTAGTTCTGATGATTTTTCTTGCTTATTAGCAGAATTCTACCTCTATCTGAGCCTATCTCTTACATGTTTCTATTTGTGGTAAATGGTTAATATTAACGATATCAAATTATGCGATGAATTTCAGACCTTGTTATTATCATTTGATAATCCTGGAAACAATCGTCATCATTTATAGACAGTTTGGTAAAATCTTATGAAGCACTCTGCTGGGACTTTTGATTTCTACCTGCTGTTCGATCTTAAATGAACCCACACTTGGCTGTTGATGCATGCTTATTTGGAAAAAGGTGTGTAAATGTGGCTTGATGACTTAGTTTGAATTTAGTTATTTCTACACAGCCATGACATCATTTGTTTAATGGGGTCTCTGACAGATTTTAGTCCAATTAACTTCTATGACCTCCCTTAAAATGATATTCTTTTCATAGTTTAGCTACCCTTTTTTTTCGGATGTGTCTTGGACAAATAAGGGCTTGACAGGTTAGGTCTTATTCTGGCTCTGTTCAAAGGGCAGTTTTGACACTGAAGTTGGTTAAAACAAAAGGAATATATGGCTGTTCTATAGAATCTTGATTCCTCCCTTTCCTTTCTATGATATTAAACAAGCTTACCTTTTCCTTTTCGTGAGAATTTGGTTTCTTACTTTAGAAGTTTATAATTGGTGACCATTATTTTTATATCTATTTCATAGAAATAAACATTAGTTAAACGGATGTTCTTCTTGAAGTTCTCCTCATTTTGTCTTCAAAGTTCTTCTCTACTGTTAATTTATATCTTTCCCCAGATCCTTAGGTTAATTTTCTGAAGCTTGACTCTGAATCAATTATTTCTCGTAGAAGCTCTCTCAGAAGTTAGAATCAAGACCCTATTCTGAAAACCGTTATCTAGAAATAATCTTGCATAGAATTACTCTTATCATCAAATTTGTGCATAATCAAAAATTGACTTCTGCTTAGTTAATACAAGGTTTCATAAAGTCTTTTCCTATCCACAGTAACCATTTGTATCCTACTATCTGGATATTATACCATCATATTTTGACATGCATGCACATGCTGTGACCATTTCAAAAAGTCTTTCATGATATCATACTTTAACATTGGATAGCGGACCCAGATGAAGCATAAACGTATTGAATTTGAGTCACAGTAGGCGGTATTGATGCTAATGTGATAGAAATTCAATAAATGAGTAGTGGAGTTTGAGGATTATGTTTGTTTTTTCAAAAGATTTTTGATGGGAGAGATTCAATATCGTGTATAATCATTATGTAACAACAAATGGTCATTGATGTTCCAAGTTGCAGCATGAAATAGAAGATGTTATCATGTTATAAGTAGTTTAATGGAAAGGGAAACCTTGTATGTAGGTGGGACTTGGGGCCTTTTCTCAAAAGGCCAAGGCTCGATCTGTGTCTATAGCATGCCTATCCCAATTTTCAATTATTAGGCATTGCAACATTTTTGCTATTTACCCGAGTCTGGACTACAGAAAAAGGTGAAAAAAAGAAAACAAAGAAAAGAAGAAGAAGAATCCTTTTCCAAACCAAAGGTGATAGAGGACATGACGATTTATGACCATTTAAAGGGTCAAGAATCCACCCTTTGAATGGGCAAAAATCGTGATGTCCTCTATCTCCTTTGGTTTGGAGTTAACCCAATCTTTTCCAAGCTCCCATGAAGAAGAGCAACATGACCTACCTTCATAACATCTTTATAGTGTTTGCAGGCCTATAAAAAAGAGACTGACTGCCCCGGTGCCCATGGTGACTGCGGGAAACTTGATGGCGATAGTGGCTGCTGATGCTAAATGAAGAGAGAATAGAGGAGAGAAAGGAAAAAGCTAGGTTTAGTCGTAGTTTTTGAAATTTTACTTAAAAAAGTAGGATAATTTGAGAGTAGAACTGACTCTCGTTTATATATGAAGCGTAAAAAGTGGGATAATTTTTCTAATTATCCCAGTTTTGTATTAGCTCTGCTTTATGAGCAATCTTAAAAAAATATTTCATTACTAGTAACTTATTGACTAACACTAAAAAAAACCTACCTTATAAGTTATCCTACTTCCAGTTTTAGTTTTACTTATCATGATTGATAAGTTTACTGAGAGTTCATCTATTTGTGTTTTTGCACTGTACAGAGTGGTTTTCTGTAGTGCTTCAAAGAGAATAATTCCACATTGGTGGTTGAGTAGATAATTGAGTGGTTTGCAAGTGAAATTGTGGAATTCAAGTGTAGCATCGGCTAGTCGATTTTGTTTGTGGTTTGAGCTAGACAACGTGCTACACTCAGTGGGTCCCACGGCTTACATCCCGCTAATGGGCATGCAGGTTCGGGGCGTGACAAATGGTATTAGAGCAGTCTGCCGGTCGGAAGTGTAGAGTAAGTACTATGCAGAGCTAAGTGCTACACTACGTGAGCGTGGTGTGAGCCACCTCTAGAGTATGTAGGAGCCACATCTAGAAATTCACATCACCTAGCTGATATTGGGATGTACCAAATGTCACGACAAGGACATCGCATGTTTAAGGTGGGGTGATTGTAGTGGCTCAAAGAGAATAATCCCACATCGTTGGGCGAGTAGATAATTGAGTGATTTATAATTGAAATTGTGGAACTCAAGTGTAGCATCGACTAGTCAATTTTGATAGTAGTTTGAGCTAAACAACGTGCTACACTTAGTGGGTCCCATGGCTTACATCACGCCAACGGTGCTCGCAGGCCCGGCGTGTGACACCTTCAATATGAATGCATTGCACGATGCTGTTAGTTTTCTGTATTTGTTATTCAATTTTTTTTTTCAGATTCACAATATTTCATACTTTTGTAGGCACCTGAGCTTCATTCAGAGCTTCAAAGACAAATGGCTAGTCAACAGGCGGCTCCTTTGGGAGGACCATCTGCTTCAAGTACTAAGGTAAAGCATTTGTGCCAATAATATTCACGAACAACTATGTTAACTTGCATATTTGGAGTAGCAATGTTTTCATCTGTCTTATGTTATCGTAGAGCATGTGTTCTTTTGTAATTTTACCATCAATTTTTCTTGTATGCTGTATTACATTCACCACTTGGCATGGATGTCCTGAGCAGCCATATACTAGTTCTTCAAATCTATTATTCTTTGGTAATTAGATTTCCATGATTTGGTCTCCATGATATGGACATATACAGGAATTCAATAGTTCAATATGCTAGAGTCAACTTTTATCTTCAATCTTCTGGAGTCTACTTTTATCTTTAATTTTGCTAGAGTCCAAATTTTTCATTCAGATACTGTTTTGCTATCAGCAAAGAACACTGCCAGTTTTCAACACGTGCTAAACAATGTTCACTGCCTTTTCTCTTGATCACTTGCCATTTTTATCTTTGTGACTTACTTTGTTTCTTTGAAAAGCTAGGGATACCATGTAAGCATTTTATAGATAATATGATTTATCATACTCTATGTTGCATGGTTACGGGTATAGGAATGAGACTAGTACGGGTATCGGTATAGGACATGACAAATTTGTAAAAGGTAGGGTATGGGGACATGACTATATTTATATGCGTATATGAGAACAAGGATGAGAATTAAAGTTCCTATAACATTTTTATGTTTTTTTATTATGCGGACTAAAAATTGGAAAATCACTAGTTTTTGAACTAGACATTCAAACGACCCTTCAAAATCATAATTCGGGCTTTGACCTATGCCCAACGAGTTTCAAGAAGTGGATGTGAAGTGTAGGATATATGTCCAAAAAAGTATGACAAGTGTTTTAAATTAAAACATGTATGCTATAATTGAGTACATGTCTGAATAAAATGTATGCATATGCAACGAGTGTCCACGTACTTTTGGTATGGGTACAACTACGTGTGGGGTATGGGGTATGGGTACGACTTCAGATTAGAAGTACCCAGGTAACATAGATCACACTGTTTTGGTAACATATATCATACTGTTTTGGTTTGAGTACAAGTTCTAGTTGTTTGGTGGCGGAATCACTTTTGTGTTGAATTACCTGTTCATTAGCTCATTCTAAGTGCATGCAAGCAAGGACGGATCCATAAGAATGCATGTATACATATATCTTCTACCAATTGAAAATTTTATTTATAAAATAACCAGAAAGATCTAAAGACATAAAGATTTTCTATATCATTTTCATATCAACACAATCATTTTCATTTACATCACATAAACTAACAAAAATACAACTAAGTTCCAACAAAAGTTCTTTAAAATCTATGGAGTTATCAACTTTATTGGACACCTATATAAATTGTATGGGGGAACCTCTATAAATTTATATACATAGTAGTTAAAATTAAAATGTGTGTTCCCCCACAAGGATCCACATGAATCCGTGCCTGCATGCAACATATGAACAAAATCTTCAGCATAAGGGTGATCCATAATGGAGATCACAAATTAGATCATAGCTGACTTATGTGACTGGATTTTTATATGTTAAATTCTGTCCTCTTCTTTACGGCTATTTCCTTAGTTCGGTATAGCAAAGAGCTCTATGAATCTGCTTATTTCTATTTAAATATAGGTTAAAGACACCTTAACTGTTGCCGATTCCCCTTTCTCTGAGTCATTTGTTGATGTTTCATTCCAGCAGAAGTTTGGAAGTAACCTGGCATTTATCATATACCACTCATTGCCCCATCTCCTTTCTCTATTTTTTTTGTTGTTACGGTTCTGATATATAGATAATTAACTTCGCACGTTGCCATGTCCGCACTTCTCATCATGACCTGCTATTAGCAGACCTCTCATGCTTCGAGCTTTCATGTTTGTAGTTGCATCTTCAAGATTGGTATAATTTGAAGTTTCATACTTGGAACCTTCTGCTCAGTAATTCACATGGTCACATCCTGCTTTTTGTTCCCTTGAGACATATTATTTATCTGCTAAAAAATTAAGTATAAAAATTAAATTATGCTCTGGAGAGGCTTCCACCGTCTCACTTTGGCAAACCTCAGTTTACTTACCAGTAGTGTCAAGTTTCAACTAAAGACGACTGAAGGAAAGGATGATAGACTCCTGGTGACCTTTCCCTTGGTAAAACTCCTGGACGCAAGTAGACTTCTCAAATTGGAGGCCTGACTTGAGCATGCTGAAACCTAGTAATGCATGGCATTACCAAACTTGCATACAGTTTTAATCTCACTTAACCAGTTGAACTTGAATACAATTTTAATTTCATTTAAAAAATTAATTGAACAATAACAGCCTGAAACTCGGGTTGTGCAGCATGTTGACATGTGGCAATTTAATGGTTGTGCACAATCACTCTTCCTTTCAAGTCAATATAAGCTAACCCTATTAATCTGAAACGATCAGACCGCTATCTGCAGATGATAATAACAATGCAAGTCTGGAGTGTCTTGATGCCGCCCACAATGGGTACATCAATCCTTGTTGTGTTGGGAGGAGGTCTTTTGCTTTTCCTTTCGTTAGTTTTCCCTTTTTTCGTTTTTTTCCCCTTTTATCTGCCCTTTTTTGTATTGGGGGATAGTGATGCCGGGAGGTGGTGTGGGGAGGGGAAGGGACAGGCTTGGTCCAACTGATTTAAGTAGGCAATTCCATACTAAAGGGAATAAACATTTGAACAATTGAATACAATATTCTTCTTTGACATAGCCATGTTCATCAATCGAATTTCACTTTACGCTTTACAGTTCTTTCAAAATGCCATCTAGAGAGAAATATATAAGTTGTGTGATGGTACTATCTGTTTTTTTATTTAATCATCATATTGAAAGTTTTACTTTACAAATTACACATGTATTGGAAGGTCTTTGCTCTTTAAAAAAGGTGTAGAAAAATCTTTCCCGTAAAAAATTGTTTATCACAAAGTTTTCATACTGGTTGTGAACAATATTCCAAGGACATTTCCATTAAACACTCCAACGTTAAGAACATTTAATTTGGGAGTATTGTATCTGTGTTTAATGAACATTTTGCTTACTTTTAGGTTAGAAAAACATGTGATGCATTTCTTCTTGTTGTTTTCCCCATAGCCACTTTCTTTTCATTTTTCACACTACTCTATTTCTGGCTAGAAGACTTGCAGCTTTATTATGCTCACATGTTAATTTACCAAAAAAAAAAAAATGCTGTGTTTTGTGTAAAACCCGATGTCTTCCTGGCATACTATGGTGTTAATATAATGATGTACACATACGTCATGCTTTTTAACTAACATGTGTAAATAATTGTCATAAATGGAGATGCACCATAGTTTTGTGTGTACATTCCAACAACACTGTTCTTATTTTTGTCATGCAATAAGTATAAAAACCACTCATGGACTTGTACCCTATACTACCTTATGGAACCTTCTTACATTGTTCCTAGCTTATTCTATTCCTTTTGGAATCTGGCCAACATTATCTCATCATTTTAAATATATCTAGAACTTGAGACTAAAATGTCAATGAAAAATTAATAATAAATTGGTTATGATCATTCACATCATCACCTTTTCAATCGATCCCATATGTAATGAAGTAGAGATGGGAAGGAGAGAGTAGTAAGATGAGAGAGGAGATTTACTATTCAGGGACAAGTAATTGATAATTTCTTAACATCTCTTAGTGGATACTTTTTGTTTGAAAGGATTATCACAGTTTTGACTTTATAAACGTGGCATATGTTACTATTGGCACCCTCCAGAGACTAATCTTGTTTATTTGAAAATTCCAGGTTTCCAAGAAGAAAAAAGATAGCGATCTGAAATATGACGTACTTGGTTGGGTGATTCTCGCCGTTGCAGTTGTAGCATGGGTGGGGATGGCCAAGTCTCAGGTTCCTCCCCCACCTCCCAGGTGAAACTTCAACTACAAAGCGAGATGAAAGCCAGCTTCCTCTTTTGTTCCCTCAAGTGGTTTTACTTTCTTTAAAATGAGAGTTGTGATAATTTGCGTAGAGTTAGGAGCATATATTTTGGTGCAGCTATCTTATTTTGATGATTTATATTTTTGGGTTATCTTTGTCCTAAATGCTGGATTGAAGGACAATTTTACCTGATTATCTTCACAGAATCACATTTTTAGTACATGATCCATGAGGGTGTAGTCATGAGACGAGACATGCATTATTCTGGGAGATCAAGTAACATAAAGGTGGTTTCTTCGATGTTTCTATGAAGTTGCGATGGCTAGAGCTTTCATATTTATTGCTTTCTTAATATATGCAACAGTGTAATCATCCTCTGTGTGTATCTATCATTGGCAGTAATGGTTCGTGAACCCCTCGAGTGATGGTGAATGTTTGTAAATTTTCTGTATCACATTGTTCTTGTTGGGTTTTTCTGGGTTTCTTCTTATGAGTATTCTCGCCCCAATGCTTCTATTGTGTCCGTGATAGAAGAGAAGAGAATATCGATCTGAATTCATTTCAATGTTCTTTTGGTTGCTTCATCTGCGGTTGACAGCTTTGCATATGATAGCAATTGCTTGTTATAATGAAGGGTTCTTGTTGCAACTTTGGGTTTTTGGGTTTCGTCTTAAAGTTATTTCATGCTTCTGCTGTTGCTATGATATAAAAGAAAAGTACATATCAATCTGATGTCCTTTCGACGTGCTGTTGCGTATTTTAACTGCAAATGACGACTTTGCATACAATAGCAATTGCTCTTGATAACGAAGGGTTCTTCCTGTTGCAACTATCGGTTTCATGCTGCTAATTATTCTTTCTTTGTCAAGACATTATCAGGCCTTTGTACTCTTTACAGGGTCATTGTTGTATTAGCTAATGGTATCTCCTATCTACATGAGGTTGTCCAATAATATGGGGATTTTATGTACAATATACCCAGTGCTATGATACTCTCATTTGAAAACAACTTCAAGATTTCAGCAAAAATGGGCAAGCTGTAAAAGATGGTTTCGCAATTCACATTGGAAAGCCTTGTAGATGATTCACTTCTTTGTGTGATCAAATGACTGAGCTCTGAGAGTCTGCTTCGAGGAAGATAGATTTCAAGTTGGAGGCATGCACAATGATTGTGCTGCTCAATTCATTGTTTTCTGCGTGCCGCAACTTGATCAGTTGTCTCCCCAAAACTCTGTAGGAAAAAAAAATGTAACTCGTCATTTATGTAATCCTAGAAACATATTTGGTAATTGGCAACAACTAGTCCAAAGGTGGATATTTGAGCATTATGAACAAACAACTAGGCAATAATTCTAGTAGGAAATTGTGTCGCTATAGGGGGTGTTTGTTTGCATGCATGTTAGAAATAAAAGTGAGATAGTAACTTATTTTTCACATTTGAGGTGTCTTTTTACATGCAAAGCGAATGTGAAAGTGGAATTTAAGGAAGTTAGGACATGAGATCTAATGTAATTTTGGCCTCCCCTAAAAATTGGCCCGTGAGAGTGAAAAAACGGGCACCGTTTTTAAATTAAACTACCTTGACTATATCTATTAGTAAATTCTATTTTGCCACATCTTCTTCATATTTGTACTTTCAACAATAATCTTCTTCATGAGGAAGATAAAATATTAATGGCTAATAAGGCTAAACAAGCTGGTTTTGTTTCACTAAGCCGGTTTTAAATGGAGTTACAAAACAGACCCTAACAGCCTAGGGATAACTTAACTCTGTTTAGTGACGAGAAGGGCAACATGAGAAGCATGAAAACCACCCCTTATTCACCTCTGCTGCAGGCGGAGATGCAGGTGCTACTGGATCCGCTGCAGCAGTGTGCCCTATGTTCCCTGCAACCTTTGGTGTTTGCTGTTCTGCGGTCTGAGACTGCATTCTCTGATGTTCAGGCTGTATCCTAACACTCCCACTTTTTCCACCATCCTTTGTCAACCTGAATGTACCAGTAACTTATTAAAATTTGGTATAGAACTATTGCCACGTATCAATGGTGGAGCACAAGGATACATTCATAATTTTGAAGGGCTTAATCGTAGATAGACCCCTTTTACCCAGTTGCACTAGACCCCCTGCAGCTCTATTGTTGCAGGTAGATGCCTGAGTGAAAATTTTGACTCTTCAAACCCGCGAAAAGAAGAAAGAAAAAAATTATCGATAGCGAAAAGGGTCTATCAGCAATTAACCCACAAAATTATAGCACCTTACATCTCCCGATCTTTACAATGAAGTTTCCACTTCACTAGTTTTTAAACTCGGACAAATTTTCAAAACGACCTGTTTTGAATTTTATTCTAAAAAAAAAGACCCATTTCAAACTTAATTTTAAAAACAGACGCAGTTGGCTGAAACTGGGTCGGTTTTTGAAAAAAAAGTTTACAAACTTCACGGGAGTTGAAGCCCCGTGAAGTTTTGTTATATAAAAAACTTCACGGGACTTCAATTCCCGTGAAGTTTGGGAATTTTTTTTTTTCAAAAACCGACCCGGTTTCAGCCCAACTAGATCGGTTTTTAAAATTAAGTTTGAAACGAGTCTTTTTTTTTGAAATTTTTTAGCAAACAGGTTGGGTTTGAAAATTTGTCCTTTTAAAACTCACACGGGAATCATGTGACGGTCAGAACTATGACGTTCGTCGAGAACATTTCACCAAGATCCCCACATGAGTTCAGAAACTGACATAGAAAAATATAACATCGACGGTGAGCAGCTACGTCACCGTAGAGAGAGGGAAACATTTCGTACACTGGAAACGCGAAGGACTGAGAGCTGGCAACGCTTCCATCGGACAGTCTAGATACGCTCTCGGTAAAATGTACCCCGCCTTCTCCGGCGTCGCTGTACCCGAGTCGGCTGCTCCCCCGGTGACCCTCGACGGATCGGTTGGCGGCGCCCAACGGGCCTCAAGCTCGTCCACGGTCTCCAAGCCGACGTTCCCCGACGGCGAGAGTACGGTCGGGTTACGTTGGAGGCAGCGCGAAGGGATCGGGAAAGATGGCTGCGGTAACCGTCCGTCGGCCCGCCGTGACGAAGACGCGTTGCTCTCTGCGACAAACTTCGAGTTTCCCGCGCTAATACTGAACAGGGACTCGTGGACGCTACGCCGCTCCACTCATCGGTGAGGTGGATTTGTTCGCGTGCGAAAACCGAGGAGGGATCCCGTTCGCGGTGGGCGCATCGGCTCTGAATCTTAGGGTGGGAGCGGCGGCGGGCGTGCGCGAACTCGACCGTAGCTCGCATCGTGTCGGCTCGTCTGGTGTGGTCCAGCCCAAGTGGGTCAAGTTGGAAGAATTCGTCGTCGTCGTCGTCTGAGTCATCGGAGGTGTAACCGGAGGAGGAGGAGGCTTCGTCGGCCTCATGGTTTGCTTCTTTGGTTGGTTCGTGTTCGGATAGAGCGAACGGGTTCGGTTCGGTTCGGTTTGGTTTTTTCGGTTCAGAACTTGCCTGCTCGGCTAGTCCTCGATCCATTGAATTGAAGGACGGCGGAATTTGATTAATATGTTCGTTCTATTGGCTTTCTTTTATCTGCGAAGGAGAAGAAGAGAAATAAAAGAAGATCAAATATTAATGACATCAAATGTAATATTGTTGAAGCACACGAATAGATAAAAAAAGATCCCTTTTCTTCTATTTGTAAATTGTTTGATGGAGGAAAGAGTTCATTGATGGAAGTATAAATAAATGAAAGGTGAAAAAAAAATAGAACATGCCATGCATTTGATCAAAAATTGAAAACCTTTTATGTCACAATTCAATCAAAACATCTATCCTCAACTAATCAACTTCATCTACAAAAAGAAGTTAGCATCTAGTTTTCAAAAATAAAAAAAATAATAAAAAAATGATAAACTTTAATTGCTTGCTTTAGTCACTTTTATTGTTCATCCCTCTAGGTTTTAACTTTCAAAATTTGCATCTATTGATGCACTTTATTCTTTGTTTACCTAAGCTGTTATTATCTTTCTTCGCCCCTGCTTTTGAGATAAAATTGGTGTAACTCAAAGGAAATAATAAGTAAATACATATTTTCTCATTCCATGTCTCAAATTCCAATTATTAGAGTAAATTTATGATTCTTTTTAGAGTTTCTATCCCCACTAACTTAAATAATAAATATTATCTTCTTGTTTTTGGATTAATTCATGGCTACTCGAACTTCATGCCTACATATTTTCAATTTCATAAAAAGAGTATAAATACTCACCCGAAATCATCGAATCTCCTACATTTAGTGATCATAAAAAATCCATTATATCAATCAAGCCTGCAAGAAATGACACATTGAGGGGTAGTTATTTATCAAATCAAATAATATTTAATGTTAAAAAGATAATATGATTTACAATAGGAATTACCTCAATCATTGGGCTACATATCAAAAGCATGAGACAATTATTTTTACTTCTCCCTCTTGATAGAAAGAAAGAAATAATTGAAATTGACAATGAAGAAAAAAATTAATTGAAAAGTGAAATAAAAGGGCAGAGAGAAAACTTGATCGAAGAAAATTATTAGAAAGAGAAGAAATGATCAAAAAATTTAGTATTGGGGATTTTTTTTCTTGTTCTCTCTCAACAAATTTGGGGTTTTCCCCCGTGAGAGAAAGAGCAAGGGGCCAAGAGAAACTATCGGTAGACGGTAGTTATTTTTTTCTCATATTAATTTGGATGTTGTTAGTTGGATGCAACCCAATAACAAATTCCATGATTTAGGGGATTAATTTAAAAATGTTAAAGTAGTAAGCGGTTAATATAAAAAACCCTTTCTTTTAATGGAATAGAAATTGAGCTTTGCTTAGGTACTCTAATAATATCACTTTTTAATTTATATAAAAGAAAAAATTGGATGAAAATTAAAAAGGATATTTTGATACTTTTACCTTGAACTTATTTTTCAATTTATATTTTCCCAAACCGTTTCTCTGCTCCACCTCGAAACTTCCAGCATCTTCCCCTTCTCTCGCTATATCGCCTCGTTTGGTACGCGGGAATGGACTCGAATGAGAATGGAATGGAAGAAGGAATGGAATGGAATTAATGTGAGAATGGAATAGTCATTATCATTCTCACGTTTGGGCGTAATTTATAAAACGAAGTGGGAATGTGCGTATTTTAAAATTGTATATTTTAGCGATTCTCATTTAAGTGGGAATCCTCATTCCCTATCATTTCATTGGGAATGCTCATTCCCACATAAAGTGGGAATTGATGAGAAGTGGGAATGAACATTCCAACTTCAAAAAAGCGTGTGTGTTTGGTAGGAAGGAATGAAAAGTGAGAATGATCATTCCATTCCACCTCATTCCCGCGTACCAAACGAGGCCTATATGTGGTTTTTGTAATTAGAACATTATAAAGAATTTAAATCTAAGGAATTTAAAAAAAAAATGAAATCCTCTTTATGTTAGAAAAAGCTATGGAAATCCTAAAAATTATTTCATACTACAATTAAAACTGGACTGGTGCTTTAGTGCTCCTAACAAAAAATTATTATCATGTAAAATATAAAAGCAATAACCTAAGAAATTAAAAAAAAAGTTCCAGACTTCTACCAAGGCGTTCCAAATCAGGCTAAAATGTTCAAAAACAATAGAGAACTAAAACAAAAAGAATTCATATCAAAATTAACCAGCTTTTCAAATAAAAAGTAAAACAGAGGATTCACATCATACTCCTTTTAAAAGCACGGGTTCAGAAATTTTTTCTATGGTCAATATTAATATTCACTATTTTGAATATTTTATTTATATCTTATTCTATTCTAATCATAGTTATATCCTATCTAATCCTACATGAACTATCTATAGCTTAACAATTTAAAAAATAATATTAATAAAATATATAAAATATTTTTATGGTATTAGTTTATTAAAATAAAGAAATTATATGTAGCTAACATACTATAATACATGAATATTGAAAAAATACCCTAAAAATTTTAAAACTGCACAAAATATCTTTAAAAGTTCAAAATCATAAAAACCATCCCTATGTCTCAAAACTTAAAGCGGCAAATATAAAATTAAGAAATTAATAGCAGTTTAAAAAGAATATAAAATTTACGGTTAACACCTCAATATCTCAAAAATTATAGAACACCCTCTAAAGTTCAAATTATAAATAAGCACCCTAAAATTCCAAAATTCCAAAACTTGCAAACAACATAGATGAATTTAAGCGATTACCATAATGCACCTAAAAATTTCTGACATTTCAAAATTTAAAAAAACAAACTTAAAATCAAGAAATTAACAGCAACATCTGAAGAATTTAAAATTTTTAATTAACACTCTCTAATGTTTCAAAAATTATAGAAACGCCCTCAAAAGTTTAAATTATAAAAAACTACCCTAAAATTATAAAATTTACAAACAATAAAAGATGAATCTAAGAGATTATCCTAAGGCACCTAATAATTTAAAATTTACCTCAAAGCTATAAAATTGTAAAAAAAAAACCCCAAAATTTAAAAGTCGTTAAAATACTCTAAACTTTCAAACTTTATAACCAGTAAATCTAGAAACTATTGGTAGATTGTTGAAATTTGAATTTTTCAAAAATTTATTTATAGTTTTAATAATTATAAAAAGCACCCTTAAAATCTTACAGTTATAAAAAAATATCCTGACATTTAAAAATTACCACCGATACATGAAACATAGAAGTTACAACTACCAAACTTAAAAGTAATTTTTTTTAAAACACTCCTAAAGTTTTAAAATTACAAATCATACCCTCATAGTTCAAAACCATGAAAAGCTGAACTTTTAAAACTTGATAAAGAAAAGTGTAATTGTTTGGTATTCTTTCACACACACACGCGCACACACACACACACACACACACACACACACACACAATTTTTAATTTAGGGTTTACTATCCCTTTTTAGCATCTAAAAATAGTCTAAGTTGATACTGGTAAACAAAAGCAATAAGAATTGATTAAAAACATACGACTAAAGAATAAAAAATAAAAAAATATTATAGATAAAAAATTATCATCACTATATAAATTAAAGCAACTGAATATAATTTTACTAATAAGTTGGAGCAACAAAAATACATTAAAATACATTAGTAACATTAATTGATAGATGTTTAAATCCATAAAAATGATGAAGGACTATAATATAATAGCTTAGCATTAATTGATTATAATTTATAAACATTAATCTCTAATGTTAGTAATATTTATTGGGTAAAAGAATACATGGAATTATATATGGAGAAACTATTGGAATGTATCCTTCAAAAGAAGTAAGCTATTTCCATTGCAAATGTGAAAGTGACAGAACTAAATCTAAAATTTAGAAATGTCCATGAATCACTTGAATTAGCATTAACATAAAGCATATCTATTAAAGAAGCACCGATGAGTTACATTGAACAATAATTTATTAAATTTATCCCAATCAAAGAAGAATTTTCCATAAAAGATATAAGAAAAATTAGTATGTATTCATAAATTTCATACTTTATTCTTTAAATACTAAACAAATTAGATATTAATATTATAATCTAAGCCAAATTTGCAATGAAAATACAGGTATTTAGTTTAGATTTTTATAAAAAAATGACAGGGATAGAGCAAAGATAATATTATTGATATAACAAAAACTTTTATTGGATGCACATCAAAAGAATTGATTGTAGAGAAAATAAGAGGTAACGCCTAAACTTATTTAAGTAATAAATTAGGAATATAAAGAATTTCATATATATAAAATTAATATTTATTCTCATTGAAATAGAAAAAAAAAATTAAAGTTTGTATTTTAAGAAGTTCGTGTTGAATATCAGAAATACATTTAACTTCTTTGTGAAGTTAAATAAGAAGATAAAAGATTAACGAGCCCAAGAAAGATAACAATATAAAAAATATATGATACGAGTGTATCTTCTTCATTGCTTCGGGAACTTAGTGATCCTCATGGGAGCTTGAGGATAAATGATTCTCATGATATCTTGAGAATAGAGGTGTGGATGAAGCCCTTGGTGGTGGCGAAAGAAGTCAGAAGCAAGAAATCAGGAAACAGAAGTTCAGGTTCTGGCCGGTCGACTGGACCAAACTGGTCGGTCGACCGAAAACGTGCACGCTACAGGGATGTTTTGGTGTTATTTGGCCGGTCGACCACAACACCTCTTCCGGTCGACCGGTAGCAGAATCCGGTCGATTGTAGTCTCCTAGCGGTCGGCCGATTACAGGATAGCTTCAAGTTGATTTTCCATCTCTCTGGCCGGTCGATCGCGACACACCTACCGATCGACTGAATTGAGATTCCTGTTCTGATTTGAGCTCTGTTTTGACGTAGTTTCCTGATTTGTTTGGACTTGTTATTTACAAGATTGTCATCCACGTTGTTAGGGATATAAATAGGATTGTTGAGGGTTTCTAAAACAATCAGGTTGTATTCTTAAAGGAGATTAAAGAGATTGTTTTTTGATCTAGAGAGATTGTGATAGAGAGATTTATAATCTTTTATACTCATAATTTAGAGAATGTATTTTCCTTCCCCCCAAATTGAGTTGTTTGTGTTTTTTGTTGTTCTTCTTCTTAAATCCACCTTTGATAATTTTACGATCAAAGGTGCTCGCTCGGCAACTCGTGTTAATATAAGTCTAGCTCAATGTCACAATCGATGTAGATGATAAAGACACTTGTTCGCGGGAAAAATCGTTGCTTTCTTCATTGATATCATTGCCATCTTAGTTAACAACTTTATGCGTTACAAAGATCCGGTCTTTTTATAAGATCCGGTTACAATGAAAATCAAAATACAAAAAAGAAAGATTACAATTTATTTCCTTTTATGCCGAACGAATCGCGAGCTCCTGTTTTGCGGTCACTCGCTTTGTGTGGGTTCTTTGCCTGCGCCGGGGTTATTTGCCGTGGACCACCGCGTGATCTCGATCCGGTCGGATCTACACGATATGACGGGTATTATCTCACGAAGGAAATAATAGCCGGGTGGGGTACTAATTCACCAAGGAAATAGTAGCCCAAGTGTCGAAATCGACCAAGCGAATTCGAGACTCTTCTCGGGATCTAAGAACCAAGCTTAGATCCGGAGGAAAATCGTGTAGATCTCAGATCCGGTCGCTCTCGAACACTTGCCTTGTTTGGCGTGGATGATCGCCGAGAACCGGATCTCAAAGTCCAAGTCTTCAATCTTCTAAAGCTCCAACCTTTTTTAGATCTCAGATTCCAATCCGGCAGAGCTTCGACCCTCCCAAAATCCAACCTTTTTAAATGAACAATGCCTTGGCCTATTTATAGGCACTCAGAACTGTGCATTTGCACAGTTCTGAGCCTAGCCACCTGTGGGTGGCTCGGCTCTTGGCCGAGCCACCCACAGGTGGCTCGGCCTTGGCCGAGCCACCTGCAGGTGGCTCGGCTTTGGCCGAGCCACCTGCA